TGTAACCCCCCCCCCCCCCAAACCTGAAACCCCCCTCGACGAGTAAATTTCCCCAGTAAAAAAAAAGAATTAAGTACTCGTCGAATTGTTTTATTAACCGCAATAATAATTCAGTTTAATGGAAACGTATAAATATCTCCAAATCTACTCGACATCCATTTTATCTTCCTTGGTGGTCTGATTCTCCTGTCCCTGTGCATTCTGATGGTTCTTCATCTCCTCACTTCCCTTCTCCTTCTTCTCGTCCTTGGGTGGCTCGACCTTGGGCTTTGGTTTATTAATAATGGGATTAGCAGTGTTGTCGACAGTCTGCCTGACACTGCGAACTTGTGCAAGTGTTATCGAAGGCATTTGGGTGCGTGGAGTGGCTGCGAAGACAGCATGTGCCTCCTCGAGCCATGCCCACTTGTCCTTGATGACATTTCCCAGGGTCTTGAGCTCCTCGTCAGTGACGTGAGAGTACTTGTCGTCCTTGGAGCCCTTGATCTGATCGTATCCCTTCTTTGCTAGTTGGAGAGTGGCTGCCAAGTCACTCAGGGCAGCCTGCCTACCCTCGTACTCATTCTTGATGTCCTTGATGGGCTCACCATGACTCCTCAGCTGGGACAGACGATCCTGGTACACCTGCCTGTTGCACTCCTCCCCCTCCTCGTACAGCCAGTTCTCTGTGTCGTCCAGGGTTCTGCTCAGGCTCTCTCGGTTCTCCTCTGTTATGAAGTTGGCCAGCTGATCATCGTCGGATATCTTACCACGCAGGTCGTAAACGTACTCCTCCAGGGCGTTCCTCGCGTCGATTCGCTCCTTCTCCTGTCGATCCTCAGCTACCATCTTGCATTCCTTCTCAAGGGCTATGTCTAACTCGTGCTGGGGGAGGCTAGAGGTGTTCACTTCGATTGGAAGGTCCACCAGACGAATGGGAGTCTTCTTCTTGCCTTTTGCATCTTCCTTGTCGTCTCCCTGAAAATTGAAAATCCATTTTTTTTATTGGAGTTGTATAAACATAACATTTTGGGGGAGGTTTTTGTTCTATTGGTAATAACTCATCTAGAAGTGAAAAAATAAGTCCTATGGGGGAATTAAGTTTTCGACGTTATATGGATTAAAATCTAGAAGAAATCTCGGAAAGTCAGAAAAAATTGAGAAAAATTCTATCAGAAATTGAAAATTATTGCCAGTGTCAAACTTTTGTAATAAATAATTTATGTTTCTGCATTCCCGAAATGGCGTGTCATGTCGAATGATTTAACAATAGTCAAAAGAGAGACCATTGTTTGATACAATAATTGAAGAAAGAATTTGATGGATCAATTTCTTACACTCGTCAAAGTTAGAATTCATGGGAAAAATTATCGATGATGAATAATTTTTCTTTGAGCTTTTCGAATTTATACTCAACAACTCAAATGGGGTTTATTCATACTAATTTAATTTGAGAAGAACTTATTACATATATGGACTATATTAAATATATGGACTTCCCTAAGTCTTCGTATATTTTCATAAAATTTTCTCAATTTCGTCAGATTAATTGTAAGAATAAACAAAAAGAATTGAAATTTGTGAAAACGTAAAATTTTTCATTAATTTCTATTCACTACGAGTTAAACATACGATTCAGTGAATAAGAAATTAAATAAAAAATGATTGATTGAAAAATAAGTCATATTGAGGCACAAAAGTGAATGATGGTGATGTGGATCTGGTGTTTGGGCGACGAGATGTTGAGATTTGTTTATAGCCCGGTGGGTGACACATATTGAGACACTTGGACCCATACACATTTATCCAATGCGTCATTTTGAGGGAACATGGTGAGGTGAGTTCGCCCACACACTGCGTCAGCCTTCGATCCCATTTTGGAGTCGTTCTGAATGTTAGTGAGGTGAGGGGATAGTGGAGCGTTGTGTAAATGGAAGTGGGGGATTTTGATGAGCTAATTTTGGAGTTTCGTGTTGATTCTTGAATTATTTCGATGATGAAGGGGTTTGCAAAGAAATAGTCAAAGACGTTTTGTCCTGAAACTATTCGGTCTTGAAATAATTATCTAATTAATGGGGAATTTTGGTCGATTGTTGAATTACTTTTTCAATTGTCTCGATAAGAAGTGGATTTAGGAAAAAATGTCAGACATTTAAATTCGATAATTAACAGAAATCAACAAATAAAATCGCCTTCAAGTCCTCTATCGCATTTCTTCCTTTCAAGAATGCACAACATAAAGCAGATGATACTAAAATAGTTATTAACAAAAACCAACGACAATGCAGTGGAAATCTAAAACAACAGAAGCAAAATCGGCGACAGAAATAAACTGAACAAAGCGAAGAAAAAAAGGATGATGAATAAATGAATGGATTCTTCTTTAAAAAAAAGTTTCCGTGACATTGCTTCCAAAAATTCCAACTAATCAAGTCATCTTCAATTAATCTAGTCATATCTCTTTCCCTCACGAATGCACAACATAAAGCAAACGACATCAAAACAATTCTAAAAAAACCAACGACATTGCAGTGAAAATCTAAAGCAACTAAACCAAAATCATGAACAAAAGGACAATGATCAAGACTTATGGGTAAGCTGAGAAACGAATGCCCATGGGTCTAGGGTAAATTTAATGTGTCGCGTACCGAGCTGAACTAACATCGAATCCTGGAGAAATAGGATCCTAGAATTCTCCTCTACAAAAAAGTCCCCTTGACATTACTTCCCAAAAATTCCAACTAAGCAAGTCATCTTCAATTCCTCTAATAATATCTCTTCCTCTCACGAATGTACAACATAAAGCAAACGACATCAAAATAATTCTAAAAAAACCAACGACATTGCAGTGAAAATCTAAAGCAACTAAACCAAAATCATGAACAAAAGGACAATGATCAAGACTTATGGGCAAGCTGAGTGACGAATGCCCATGGGTCTAGGGTAAATTTAATGTGTCGCGTACCGAGCTGAACCAAGATCGAATCCTGGAGGAATAGGATGGGCCAGAGCCCTTGGAACGTCTTTCATCATCCTCAGCGTCTGAGTCTCGTTGGCCCTTATCCACGCGCACCTAAATCACAACAGACTTACATTGCCCTCTCGCGTTTTTCAAGTCATTCATTGGAACTTCTATGAATGAAAATCTCTTAATTATCTCTTAATTAATGAGTTTAACTAATGAGTTAAAGGTGAGTGAAGGGAATTCATTCCTCTGACAAATTCAATAAATCATTCAATCATTTTCTTGATTTCATTGATGAAACACTCGCAAGTCTGCGATGATTTAATGGGGACGCGTGGACTTGTGATTTTCTTAAGATCAATTTGATCTGTGAAATTACCTCCTGAGCTGGCGGCTCTTTAGCCTGGGCTGCCTGGTCTGGCTTGTCTTGCTCTGCTTCAGTGTTGTTCGCCTGCTGCTGCTGTTGCTGCTGCTGCTGTTGTTTCTCCTCCTCTTCAAGCTCTTGCTGAGTCAATTCACGTTTTTCCACTAGAACAGCTGATGTCACTGTGAAGATTCCGTTCAGGTTTAATCTCACTTTGATCTTTACTTTTGAGGGCTCACCCTCTGGGGTGGGCTTGATATTTTTTATGTGCCAGACACCTGAAATCATTGATCAAACATTGGTAATGAAATAAAAACGATGAAGCATTAAATTAAATTAAATGCAATTAAAATGTGTTCAGACGTTTAGAATTTGCTACGAATAATTGTCGATATTTTCTTCTGAATCCAGTCATTACATAGATGAGTGAATAGGAAAAAGAATTTTGTCGACTTAGAAGAAATCTATTGATATTAATAGAACTATCAACAGAATTAAAATGATTTAATGCAGAGAAATCATTTATATTCACATCATATTCACCTATATGTGTTGCTGGGTATGTTGGAGGTTGAGAGACATAAGTGGCAATCAGAGAAAGTGGATTCATCCTCTTCAGAGTCAAGGACTTCGAGAATGGGAATGCATGATTGTAAGAAAATACTTCGAGTTCCCTGGAAGATAAACAAGTGTCAACAGATTTTAATCGTGGATTTTTAATGAAGAAATATTGAGAAATAATGATCACGTACTCATCCTCGCCCTCTGGGGGATCGAAACTTATTTTAATTGGATAAGGCTGAATATCAGTGACAGCAAAATCACGAACTCTGACAGCTGGACTCAACATGGCACACTGAAGGGCGCAGCCTCGTGCAACTGCCTCATCCTGATTGAGAGTTGTTGATGCTGGCTTGCCAAATACCTCCTCCACCAGTCGTTTGATCGATGGAATTCTGCTAGAGCCTCCGGCTATCTCCACTGAGTGAATTTCCTCGAGTTTTAGACCTTTGGAGACCAAAAAAGTTAATTAAAGTATGATGAATAAACTCCAAATTAGTTCTTGAACATCTTGGGCCAAAATTTTCATCCATTTAATCATCGCTCATTCAGTCATTACTTATTTCGTAGATAGTGGGGAGTTGATGAGGTGAATGGACTCTCGGATACTCACCGGAATCACGAAGACACTTCTTCAAGGTCACCTCCACACGACTGAACAGATGCTGGCACATGCCCTCCATGTCCTCTCTCTTCATATCCCCATGGACATCCTTCTCCTCCATGAAACACTCGATGTTAAGAGGTAACTTCGTCGAATTAGCTGACATTTGTTTCTTTATCTTCTCGACCTCAGCCAGAAGTCGTAGATAGGCACGAGGATTCGAGTGGGCGTCGATCTTGTAGCGGGCCTGAAAATCTTTGCAGAAGTGGTTCGCGAGGATCATGTCAATGTCTCGACCTCCTAAGTTGGAATCCGCAGCACTTGCCAACATCTGGAATTGATTAATGTGGTATGGATAAACTCAGTTGAGTGGTATTTTTTTGTGACGAGGAAAAATTAATTCAAAAAGCTTTAAAACAAAATTATTCATCATTAATCTTTTTTTTTTGATTCAACAAAAATAAACAACAATTTTCAGGGATAAAAAACTCTTGTTAAAATAATTTTTCAATTATTCTAACAATAGGTGATCTGAGAGCTAAATTATTCCCAAGAGAATAATGAATAATTAATGAAAAAATGTAACTACAAGTGTAAATAATAAATGAATGAATAAAAAATAATAACTCAAATAAACAAACCTTCAGTCTGTCTTTATGAAAAGCAGCAATGCTGACTTGAAGGCTGGCATAGCCGCAATCAACAAAAACGACGTTACGGGATGGTGCTTCCGGTGCAGGTAAATCCTGTTTGTAAATGCCATAGCACAGGGCAGTGGCTGTTGTTTCGTTGAACAAACGTAAAACATTTAGGCCAGCGATTCTAGCTGCATCGAAAAGAGCGAGCCGTTCAGCCTGTGTGAAGTAAGAGGGTACCGAAATCACACAGTCATTAACAGCTGTTTGCAGCGCCGTCTCCGATATTTCTTTCAATTTTGTGAAGAGCATTGCTGTTATCTGTTCGGGTGTGAATATGTGCTCTTCACCCAAGTATTGTACCTGAAAAAATTGTGAAGTCGATGTTAAAGTGGAATTTTTTATCTTCATGATGATAAAAAAATCATTTTAAGGGGATTTGTTTCATCAATTATCTAATTATTAATGGGAAATTATCGCTTTGAAGTAATTGTATCACGTTCTTTGTGAATTTATAACTGAGTTCATGTGATATTTCATGCACAATCTGATATAAAACGATGATTATCCCTTTATCGTGGTGTTTTACGAGTCAAAAATGGCTTTGGACAGAAAATAGTGGGGAATGTCTTATCAAAATTATCTCACATGTATGCCAATAGTCCCATCTGGCTGTGCTGTTATTTTATACGGCAGGAAACGTATCTCCTTCTGCACTTGTGGATCGTTGAATTTTCTACCCAGTAATCTCTTGAATCCAAAAATTGTGTTTTTCATGTTTGTCACCATTTGATTCTTGGCTGCAACACCCAGAATACGATTTTTTCCACTGAATGCAACCCATGATCTGAAATTAAATCGAAAACATTTTTTAATGCATCTGCATGTGAATACTCATTTTGAAATAATTTTTTGATGACTAAAATCGTAAATTGCGACAGGAAAAGTGGATTTCGGGTCTTGCCAAATGTTAGGATATTTTCTTCTGAAATTACTCATTTAAGGATATCCAAGTACTTTGGGTATTTTTTTTTTCAAGTGAAAGGCTTTTCTACTTTTGTAGCCGAACATCAGAGCTTTCATTTGAGCCCCATTTTACCCTCAGTTTCCGGGCATTTTACAATGATTTTACGATTTATTTGATGCAGATGTATAGTCGAGCACTAAAGTTCGTAAACAGAATACATAGAATGTAAGTTGAGGCTGTTCACGAACTTTAGTGGTTGACTGCATATCCTCTCGGGTTTTTACATTTTGTGCCCTTCCTCTTCTCCCATAAAATATAGTTATGACTACAAACATTACATGTTATAGAGAAAATGCATAGACATTTTACGTTTTTACATTTTGAAGGGGAGGGTGGGGCAAAATCCATTGATAAAATCTTTCCCCGTCAAAACTTCTCAATAATTTTCCATTCTACTGAATGGAAAATTATTATTCTAATCAGTACTCCCAAAAATACAAAAAACTTGATGAACAAAAATTAATAAAAAAAATTTAATGTTTACTTTTAGAGGAAGATTGCTGAAATATTTTAGTAATTGCAATTTTTTAAAATTACAAGCATCTTCTAGAAATAGTTCATAAACAATCAATTTTTCACCATAAAAATCATTTGTTCGGAATCGTAAAAAATTTATTCATACTCAGAATTTTACATTCTCAGAAGTTTAAACAATTTCAATTATGGATTTATAAACAACGAATGTTTAAAAAAATAATTCTGTGCAAAATGTAATTTTAATGACGCTGAATATTCGTGATTTTTTTTTTCAAATTTTTTTTACGCAATTTAGTTGACAAATTTGATGATTGAAAATGGTTGAGTCTATAGTGTGGCCTGTACCAAACTGTGAAAGATACTTGGATATCCTTAAAAATATAAAGATTGACAAAATATTGGAAGTGATTAATTTATTACAGTTCCGTTGAAATGGGAATGTTGAATGTAAAGTCGAGTTATTCACGATTATAGTTAATACACGTGGACTAGACAAAGGGGTCAACGTCCCGAAAGAAGAACTCGCAATGAATCACAGGTACATCCAAATAAGGCAAAAAAGAGAGCAGATTAACATATGTATTTGATGACCAAGATCGAGACATCCGTACGACAATTGCGCATTTTCGTACAGAGAAGGTACAGAGAACGTTCCTGAAACCCCACAATATAATCTAACCCAATCATCGCGAATAGAATAAATCAGGGTGATTAATAATTCAGTGGAGCGGGAAGTGGTGGGACGAAGCAAACTTCGATTTTGCACTTTTTAATATCTCGTGGTCAACGAAATGTGTAATTATCTCGGAGAGGGGTGCTCCTACGAGGAAATGTATAAAGACCTTTCTTGAAGAGCGGAACATTTCGTACAAAAAATGTTCCATGACATTTTCTCCTAAATACCTGCATTGCAGAGATAAATGCACTTTTAATGAAACAAAATTCAACTCTTGAGGTTTTGCTCAATCTCCACGAGTCCCTGAAAGCAAAATTATCTCGAGAATGAGTGCTCCAGTGAAAAAATATTATAGGACCTTTTCTGTAGACAATCTCTTCCTCTACAAAAAAGGTCCTGTAATGTTTCCTGCTAAAACAGCTCATTAACGAGATAAATCTGCAATTCTCAAAAACGTCATTCTCTAGATTTTTCCATCACCTCCGGAACAATCCACCCCTCTCCCAAGATAACCTCAATAACTCCAAAACCCCCAACAAATCACAGGATATCAACTAGAAATAAGAAAATCCTGTCCCCATTGAACAATCGCCTAGAATTTTCGTGTCGCCGAGGCCGGCATCACCGGCGCTCGTCCCCACACCTCCAGCCCGCGAATATCAATAAACGAATGATTAAAAAAAATGACTTACGGTGTACTACGTAAACTATAATCATTGGCGATGGTTTCGATGCCACCGGCCCTCGCAACAGCAACATAGCAACTCTCGTTGCCAAAGTCAATTCCAATGACGGACATAGCAGCCATGTCTGCTCTTGGATATATCTCCCTCAGAAACACGAGTCACCAAACTGAAATATTCCAGCCCACGATCACACGTTTTCCGCCACTCGTCGAATCAATCAACCGGACTTATTCGTTATCAATTTTCTATCACGACCGATGCACTCGATTAATAGTTTATTCGACTATTTATCTGTCCCTATTCACTCGTCAGTGATGAATAAATAGTTGACAATGTCCAGAGACTGGAAATGCAGTGGTTGGATGAGTTGTAGCATGAATTGCTCACAAACGATTGCTTCCTTACGGTCTAGGCGGTACGTCGCTGTGTTGACTGACGTTGCCGTTGGAAAATTCCTGACCAATCGTGGTGCAGCATTGGCTGCAATGGCGAGACATCCCATTGGTGGGAAAAGACCGGGAGAATCCGAGAATATTCTAGAAACTTGTGAATCGATCGCTTATGGAGGGGAGTTTTGAGTGGAGTGCGTCGAGTACACGTGCAGGACTATTTCGAGAATGTTCAGGGAACAAATATTGATCAATATTTCATTGTAATTATCGTTCAATTGGGGGAGAACAATTGGGGTAATTTAGATAATGTATTCAGCAGGTTTCATTCTGTTGAGAATTTTCCATTTGGGAGAGATTGAATGTTTTTGGAGAAATTTTTTGGGGTTTCAGGTGCTAAATGGAGATTTTCGTAATAATCTTTTGGTCCAGTCGATTGTATTATTAATTTTTAGATGTTTTATACGTAAATGATCCTTTTTTCGATAATTAGGAATTACATTTTTTAAATATTCCATTATCTCCATAATGAGGGGGTTTAATGGAAAATAGTATGAGAACTCTTTTGTGGAAGCGAGAATTCTACACAAAAATGGTTTTTTTATATTTTTTTGTCGGAGAACTCGTTATTGAGATATTTTTATTTTTTAAAACCCGTGGAAAAGCAACAAAATATTAGAAGTCGCATCTTGTTTTATTTAAGAAAAGTCCATTCATCTCTGAGAGGAGAACGTCAATAATTTATTTTATTTAACTTTCAGTGAAATGGGATAATTTTTCTTCTTAGAGAGGACAATTGTTTCTCTTTGTGATAACCCTCGACTGTCTTCAATTTATGAATTTGTTCCTGATATAGGAGCATTACAAAGAAGTCGTGTCCATTTTACACCCTCTCCTAACACTCTGCTAGCGAAATAAAAACAAGTGGGAAATTATTTTCGTCACAGGGTAGTCAATATATTTTTGCTAATAAATGAACAATAAGCTTGTCAAAGAAATTTCTATGACGATGTATTTTAAATTTGATTTAATCGTTCATTGAATTCAACGTTGTCCCAACATTGGCAGCCAACATTACCCCAACATTGCCCCAACGTTGACAGCTAATATTGCCCCAACATTGGCCCAACATTGTCTCAAAGTTGGCAGCCAATATTGTCCCAACATTGACCCAACTTTGGGAGTCAATACTGCCTCAATGTTGGCAGCCAACATTGTCCTAACGTTAGCAGCCAATATTGTTCCAAGATTGACAGCTAACATTCCCCTAACGTTAAATTTTTTGACCTTCCCTTAGATGTTTTTGATGCACGACGTCCACAAAACGTTATGAAATTGTCCTCTACATCACTGGTTGCCATGGACAACAGCGTCTGATCCCCAAACCCAGTGCAACGTGCCATATACTTTTGTAACGCTTGAAAAACCCCCACATGTGTGCGATAAAAGCCTATCCATGCACAAGCAGACGTGTACGTATGACGAAACGATCATCACTCTATCAGAAATGTCAGGAGAGTTCACCCAGCGCAACGTTTTCTGAATGAACTGGGGAATGTCACGTCTGTACACCTCGTCATTGCACTCCCTGGTGAGGAGCCCCAGGAGATCGGAGGCTATCCTGAGGAGATTCATCATTCGTAACGTCGGGAAGACATCTGCGACGTGCGAGCGAGGTTATGAGGGAGATTTCAACTCCATTGCTAGTAAACACTCGTGTCTGGGTGGTAAAATCGGCGGTGCCTCCACTGCATTGACAGCTGCCTGCCAGGGGAATCATGACAGGAGGGACTATCAGAGGAGTTGGAGGAGTGAGAAGAGGTACAGGGGGTTCACTTTTATTCTAGGAGGAATTGGACTCGGCATTGCCTTGTGTGATGCTCCTTATTTCACCAAAGGTCAGTCAACAGTATTCATTTATCAGTTTTTTTTAAGATATCCAAGTACTTTGGCTATTTTTCCCTCAGTGGAATGATTTTCTATTTTTGTAGTCGAACATCAGAGCTCTCATTTGAGCCCCATTTGAACTTAAGTTTCCGGACATTTTACAATGATTTTATTATTTAAACTTTGCATGTGTGGATTCGAATCTCGATGCTGAACCGTTAGAAAACATTTTAAAAATATGAAAAAGTTAGAAAGTTGACTTTTGGAGGAAAATTGAAATAATTTAAAAATTGCATTGTTATAAATAATTTATAAACAATCAATTTTCTTTCGTAAAAATGATTTGTTCGGAATCGTTACAAGTTTATTCATATTCAAAATTTTACCAGAAATCGACACTTGGATATCCTTAATGTATTGTGATATTATAAAAATTCTTCGAGATGGTAAAAATGAAATTTCGTCAATAAATTTATCAATCTTCCATTATTCAATTGCATATAAAGTCATTGTTTAATAATTTTAAACAATGTTTACATTATTAAATGAATTGTCGATTAACTATTCAAATTTTTAATTATTTATTATCGACAAAATTTCTCTTAATATTACTAGAATAATTATTATTGACGATCCCCGATGAATGATTTTTAATTTCTTCGATTTTTCGTTAGAGAAAAGGTTCTTCAGAGCAGCCCAATACGGAAATATTCCTGACTTGAAGAAGGTAATGTTAATTATTTTAGCACAATGATGGTTTTATTTCATTCATGGATTTTTTATTTGTTCTCAGTCGTTGTCTGAAGGAGTCGATGTTGACTCCAAGCATCCTCTGGGCTGGACAGCCCTCCACTCTGCTGCAATTAATGGAAAAACAGAGGCTGTGAAATTTTTGATAAGCAATGGAGCTGATGTCAATGCTGGGGATGAATTCGTTAACGTGTATAAAACTGCGATCGAAAAGGGATTGCATTCTCTGGATGGTAATGATCATCATTTGTTAAGATTTTATTAGATTCAAGTGATTTATCATGATTTTTTATGATTTTTTGAGTGATTTTTCATGTTCTAGAATGCAAAATTCTCTGAAAATAGTCATTATCTTCCTTTTATCTCATTATTAAATTGATTAGTTGGTGTTTATTTATTTTTATTCATTCATTTCTGCGATTGATAAGGCGTATCACTTGCCAGGGGTAGGGGAGGGGGGTCTCAGAATAGTTGACTGATACAGAGCATACGCGAATAGTTCAGGGAAAAAGAAAAAGTAAATTTTGACAAATAGTAGAAAAATGAGAAATTGCAAATATGAAAGCAGATATTTACCAGCAAATTCAAAGAAAAAATATAGCTCAGAACAGACAATATTTGAGAAACGAATTCACGATAAAATATGAACTAATGTTTAATCCTTAATTCAAAGACGCTGAGTTGAAAACATTTTTTGGAAAAAAAAAGAAAACAGAATTTTAATTCATCTCTAATTATTAACGTTGAGAAATGCAGACAGTCTCGATAGTTATTGGCAGCTGTCCCCCCAAAGAATCAATGGATTCCCTTCTAAATTTCTCCCAAGTCAATAATTAATCAAACATTGTTGAACAATCGCGTCAATAAAGAATGATCTGATGATTGGAATTGATTTCAGTCCTTACAAAACGTGAAGAGGAGTTCTCCGATCGTCTCAACAACAGAGCGACGTTCAAGGGATTCACAGCCCTGCATTATGCTGTCCTCGCTGACTCAATATCCTGTGTGAAGGTGCTGCTGGATGCTGGTGCTAATCCCACAATTGAGAATGACACGGGCCATCGAGCGGTGGAGTACGCTCGAGACGACGAGATTAAGGAGTTACTCGTTAAACATGCTGCTAAATATGACGAACTGATGAAGGAGAAGGTATGGGGTATCAATAAATATTATTTAATTTCCCCTTACTTTTCCTTTATTTCACTGACGATTTTTACGGATTCATTAAACAACTCAATGAACACACATTGTTCGTTTTTGTTATTAATAGGGAAGAGCTCTAAAAATTGCATTTTTGGACTTTTTGGATCGTACGGGGTCGATATAACACGAAAAATCCAAAACTTAAATTTGAACGATTACAAAGCTTCCATTCAGAAGCAATAAAAATAACAATGAAATTCCATGATCAGTAAAAAATATAAATTGAACATAATTCAGCAAAATTGCTCATTGAAAAATGTACTAACGTTTTCATGTTCTAGGAAGCTGAAGAACGACGAAGATTTCCTCTTGAACAAAGACTAAAGCAGCACATTGTGGGCCAAGAGGGGCCCATATCAGTCGTTGCCTCAAGTACTTATTGTCCTACGTAGATGCATTTTCTCATTATGAATCAATAGCTACACAGTCCTTCAAAATTCTTAAAATGCCGTAAAATGGCTTAGTTTCTGAGAAGAAAAATGTTAAAGTCCTCGATAATTGTTTATACAAAAATGTCTATAGATGTTGCTTTTTCTAAGGTTTTTTTTCTTGAATTTTATTATGAGAAAAAATTTAGGCTCAAAAGTTTCTATAGAAAAATAAAAATCTATTGACTTTTTCTATCAGGCGTCTCTAGATAACATTCGGCAGATAATGGAGCCGGGCCTTAATTATTTATTTCTTGTCAGCAATAAGAAGAAAAGAAAATGGATGGATTGACGAGGAGCACCCCCTGGTCTTCCTCTTCCTGGGATCATCTGGAATTGGAAAGACAGAACTGGCGAAGCAACTTGCTGCCTACATACACAAGGGTAAACCAGACGGATTCATTCGATTGGACATGTCTGAGTATCAGGAGAAGCACGAGGTTGCAAAGTTAATAGGAGCTCCTCCGGGGTAATTTATCATTCAAATATTCATGATCATTCATCGTTTTATTTGGCTTCTTGCTTGACTGATGTGTTTTGTGGAATTTTTGTTTGCCAGAAAGTGATCACCATGGTCTTGGATTTCCTAGCTTGTAACATTATTACCATTTTTATCTAGTTATGTAGGCCACGATGATGGGGGCCAGCTGACAAAGTTGTTGAAGAAGAAACCGAATGCTGTGGTGCTGTTTGATGAAGTGGATAAGGCACATCCTGATGTTCTCACTGTTCTTCTACAATTATTTGATGAGGTAGAAATCTCGTATGATTATTGGATCATTTTATTCGATTTTGTTGATTTATTAATGGCGAATTCAACTGCTCATTTATAGTACGTGTGTATGTATGTAGGGGAGAGTGGGACAAAATGAAACTGTCAAAAAAACGACTGTTTGACGCAATTCAAGCAAAACAATTTTTTTTTATTAAATTTAGTACTGATGAGCTTAATAATTTCCCATTCAGTAGAATGAAAATTTATTGAGAAGTTTTGACGGGCGAAAATTTTGTCAATGAATTAATTTTTTAAAAATGAAAGTCCTGGCTATACGCTGATTAAACCTTAATTAAATCCGGATTGAAAACGAATTCGAGTCTGGAAAGGGTCTGAATGTAGAATTATTTGGCAGAACAAAATAATACGCAAAATTTTGATGACATTTCAATTGATGATAGTACTATGACAGGAAAAAATAGAAGAAGAGAATAGCGAAAACGAATTTCAAAAAAAGAGAACCCATTTGGAAGTAAATTGCTAATTTGTGAGCAAGAAAAAAATGCAATTGTTCACTTGTTTGGTGTTTGAATTACATTCACAGATTCCCTTCTTCAAAAGTTTTACAGGACTAAATTCCTCATTCCTTTATTCTTCACTCATTGATTCTGATTTAAAAAAATATCGAAATGAATTCAGGGACGATTGACCGATGGCAAAGGCAAGACCATCGAATGTAAAAACGCCATTTTCATAATGACGTCGAACCTAGCAAGTGAAGAAATAGCAGAACATGGCATACAACTGAGGGCTGAAGCTGAGCGTCTCCTCAATCAGAGGCTCGATAAGACCGAGAATGAGGATCAAGCACCAGACCAAATCGTGATATCCAGGAATTTCAAGGATGAAGTGGTGAGTAACGAAGTTTGGAATACCTCTAGCCCCACAAAATTATGGAGAAACATTGCCTAGATGCCTTGTGGTAATTAATTGAAAATCAGTCGTTTTCGAGGCCAATTTTTCGGTCATGACGTCACGAAGTCGGTCAGGTAACGCTTCATTGATCGAAAAAGAAGAGAGTGGGGAGTTGTCTTCCTCCATTGGCCGAGGCGCACTCAAGATTGGGTTAGGTCGACTGGAGCCCCTCTGTGATTGGTTCAGCGCTCGACCATCTGCGTGACGTCATTAGCGACTTCAAAACGTTTGAAATTTTCAACTTTCAACAATTAATTATTAATTAATGAGCAATTTTTCAAACGTTTGCGAATGAAAAATTAATTATTCAGGTCCCAAACTTGAGATTAGAAAATTGAAAAAAATTCATTTAAGTTCCCCATTGAAGACCAAAAATTTTATCGGATTAGTATTATGTAATAATAATGTAATTGAAAATTTAGATTATCAATTATTTCATTATTTCAAATTTCAATGACGATAAGTAAACCTCAATTATTTTAAGGTGCAACTTCTCTTAATGTCGGTAATCTAATGATTGATGCCGATTCCTGCTGATAATTATGTAAAATTAATGAGACGAATAATTATGCAGGTGCGACCCATATTGAAGGCTCATTTTCGTCGGGACGAATTCCTAGGCCGAATCAATGAGATTGTTTACTTCCTGCCGTTTTCCCGTGCTGAATTGATAAAACTAGTCGCTCGTGAATTGGATGCATGGGCGAAGAGGGCACGGGACAGACACATGATCGAATTAAAGTGGGATCGTGAGGTGCTTTCAGCACTTGCTGATGGGTATGATGTTCACTATGGTGCACGATCCATTAAGTATGAGGTCGAGAGGAGGGTGGTTAATCAGTTGGCGGCTGCACATGAACGAGGACAGATCAGTAAACAATTTAATAATCTTTAATGATCGTTTGTGATTGCATGTTCATGGGGTTTTCTCAGAGCCTAATCGATGGTTTGCATTAGAGAAATTGGTTATGATGTTTCTCCGTTGTTTGGGACAATTTTCCGAAGTTGTGGAAAGGAGTAATTCCAGCAATTTTAAGATATTGCCTGATGATATTTATTTATTGATAAAAAATGAAAATAAATAATAATAATAATAATTTAAATTCAGTTAATTTCAATTTCAATTTTCTTAAATTGATTTTTATTAAATAATAATAATTGATTTATTTGTTAATAAATAATAATAATTTATTTATTTATTAATAAATAATAAATTATTTATTTATTATTAGAGCTTATTAAAGTCTATATCCATGACCAAATTCATGAAATTCGATTGATCCCTTGTAACAAATTTTCACAAAAAAAAAAGATTAGTTAACCTAAACTAAATCATTTCTTTTTCAGCTAAAAAATGTTGTGTCAAATTGAAAGCCAAATGGCACGAGAATGGAGTTTCAATAGGACTATCGGTGCGACCAGCTGGAGTAAAAGACTTCGTGGACATCGATGAAACAGACAATGTCATAAAAAACGTAAATTCAAAATTCTGACCATTGTCCATTGAACGTAAATAAATTGCCAAACGCCCAATACTCGCCCAAACTCGTCATTTCGCGCTGATAAATAATTCATCAAGATATTCTGAAAAGCATGATTCAGGGATTAGAGATGTACTACAATTCGTTATTTTGTAGGTTGTATCTAAATATAATGGATGAAAGAGACCAGAGGTAGAGATATTTGATGTAAATATGATGATTATTCTTTATTTTGAATAAATCGATCAATATAGAATACATAACATGAAAATATTTGGTTCCACATCACATTTAAGATACAGTATATAAGTTTCAAGACGAATTTCGAACAACCACGGATTATTTAATAATTTTTGGGTACACGGCAAATTTCTTCAATGAAAACTAAGTCCAGAAAATGTGACACACAAATAGAAAAAAAAATTGCTGATTTTTTTCTGAATAATTTCAATTACGTAACAGTTTTACCTGTTTTAGTTGTGAACTGAATAATTTTTTAAATTAATTTTTCAATTAAAATAGTTGCCGTTGAGGTATTTGATTTAATAATTACAGTATCAAGAATAGAACATCACGAAACGTTATGCAGAACAGGATAGAACACAGACACATCAGTTAGTTTGATCAACATGATTGTTATCAATTGAAAAATATGATTTATGTATTTAACCATTTGATTTTCACTGGAATTCTGTCAAAATTTGATCTCCCGATATATTGAAATTATTCCAAATTGGCAAGTCAAGAGCATTTCGCTGATTGTTTATTCCTCACGACGACAAGTATAATTAATATGTTTTCATGACTTCTTTGATATTTTATGATTTATTTAATCATTATTCAAACCTCCTTGTCTCTGTGCTCGATAAATTTCATTATTCCTCTTTAATATAAATATCTAGTTTGATATTTTTATATAATAAGTATATGTTTTTTAATAATCCTTTTATAGAGCTATATATAGAAATACTGTAGGTGTATAATAGAATAAGCGTACGATTCGGACCACGCTCTTATGGCTGAGCGTTATTTATTCACTCCTCAAAAGTATATTTTGTGATATATTCGTATTATCATGCTTAATAACAATAGTTATATTATCTCCATAGAACTAGATATTTTTTCAACAACAATTTTGAAAAAAACTCCATTTTTCTGTTTGTTATTTTATATATTTTTAATATTATCGCTCAAGTTAGATTTTCAATAGTTATTTATCATAAATGATTATCAAACGATTTGAAATTATAGTGTTGGAGGCGAAAATTCATTGAACCGTTTATTTATCATTTATCAAAGGCAGAATAATGTGAAAATCAGAGGAAGAGAGGGGATCGAGCTATTTAAACAATAAAAAGCGTCATTATTGATATGTCGTGTCGAATATTGGTCGAAAAAGTACTTTGCAGTGGTATACATTCAATAAGTTAATTTAAGGTGGTTTTCCGTAGTTTTTTTGTGTAAAAATCAGACTTCAATTGCGGCCGGTCTGTTCATTTTTTGAGACAATTGTTGAGATTTATTGCAATTTCTTTTTTAATTGTTTTCTGATCCGTTTATTTGGATCAAAGTGATTCTACTTGAAAATTCTGTCGAGTTGTACCGGCATTAGAACTCGTGGGATTCGCCCAGATAAATTCCTGACAATTTTTTTTATACTTCAATGACACGTGCATAAAGTCAAATATCTCTTAATTGTCCAACTCATTTCAGTTTGAGAGTCAAGACCTTAGCGAATGTTATGAAATCTTATTCTTTTATTTTAGTACATTTTTTTCATTCATAAAGACAGGCTTATTCAGGCTGTATCATTTAAGAAATGAAGATGGAAAAAAAATTATATCAGACGTAAGTACCATAATGGAATTATGTCTTTTCCCTGAATGAAAAATAATGTTAAACATCTTTTGTAAAATTCTAGTACTTCACTTTCATTGCCATTTAACATTTTATTAACTTGTAAATTATTCATTGTTATTAAAAAATTGATAATAACAGTGCCATAATTCCATTAGGGTAAAATATTGTTGTGCATTTTTTGCGTTGCTCGGCTCGATCGATCGTGAAAATATTTTTATTATCATTACGAATAAGCGCGACCAGTTAGGCCATTTGATTATTCATTATTTATTCGATAAATAAATTTTCCATTACTCATTTTTCTTTTAATTTGTGATCATTTGTATTATCTTGTCATGTTTGAGTGGTTTCTCTTCACCTCATTCATGACATATTGTACTGGCTCATGTTTTTATCAGCTATTTTGAATAATGCGGATAGATTGAATTTTTAATTGTAAATCGTGACAATTCAATGTTTCACATCTTGTTCGACACTATTATCTTGATAATGAGTGATTTCAGGAGGAATGATCATTATTGAGACGATGAGATATTCAACAACATGCGAAAAATGTAATTGTTATGTTTGTTTTACCACTGCATGAACTCCTGCATTTGGGAATTTATTTAATGCAGTGTATGCCACATGGCGATACCTTTTCGAGGAGATTGTGTGATTTTAGTCCAGTGCTCACGACTTGGATTCATTTCCGCATTTCCACCGGAGGAATTTCCGTCTATCGATGGGCCAATGATGCAGGAACCGATGATTGCATTGCCACCGATTAGTTCACTGCTTGCATCTAGCACGCACACCTGAGCAAAAAAAAAATATCTGTGATGACAAAATGAAAGAAAAAGTTGATCATAACTTGAAATTTCTTAAAATTTTCACTGAACAGTTAGCTTCATTATATGAACTTGTGCAAATTGTGTCGGGTATCATTGAAAAAACAGCAATTGTATGGGGCAAAATGGGTCATGTTTGATGGCTAATAATTCAAAATCATCAGATTGAAATGCAACATTATTTTTTTTTCGTTTCAAATATATTTTTTTAGATTTTGAAATATGTTTCGATTCATTCGAATGGCATCAAAAGATGCCAATGATCTAAACATTTCCATTTTATCCCACCCTCTCCTCCCTCAATTACCTCAATAGCAGAAGAAGTTAATGCACTCGCAGGAATATTGAAAGACATGGCTTCATTCCAAACTGGACACTTTGTAGCTTTCTTCACCTCAGTCTTTTTCTTCTTCACTCGTCTGTCGCCGGACAGGAGACTGACCTTCACGAACGGATCCAGAGTGTCTTTCTCCTGTTAAAGACCGATGAAGTATAAAATAATCGTCGAGAATTGCGTAACCATCAGGCCTACCTGAGGGGAGAACAGATTTCTCGCTTTGAGTATCAAAACCGTGAGCCTCTCAGCACTCGGCAGGTACGAAAGCGACAGCAGAACTTCCTGGATCTCTTCGGGCGGTTTCTTCTCACCCGCAATCTCCCCCCAAATCTCTATGGATGAGCTCGAGGAATCCAGTTCAAGCTCCTCCATCGCTATCCTCACTGAGCCCACTACATCGTTTCTCGAATAACGATCATAATCAAATACCTGAAATCAAATAGAATTAATTGACACCTTAAAATGTTGAGTACAAAAATCTTAATAATCAGAGTTTTGGATATATTTTTATTTATTTTCAAAATAGTTCTTCTTCACTTGTGACCCTTAATTTGTTCCTTGTGACCTTCATGACTTTTATTCTGACCCTTGCGACTCTTATTCTGGTCCTTGTGGCCCTTATTCTGACCCTCGTAACTCTTATTTTGACTCTTATGATCCTTGTGACTCTTATTCTGACCCTCATGACCCTTGAGACTCTTATTCTGACCCCCGTGACCCTCATTCTGATCCTCATGTCCCTTGTGACCCTGAATTTCGGAGTCTTAATTTCGCGTACCAAATTTTTATCACCAGAAGTCGCTGTAGATTTTTATAATATAGAGAGACAACCGTTTGATTTTAAAGTACGTCAGAATAAAATTCTTGCCTGAAGTACTAATGTCTTGTCCTGAAGATCATCATGACTGACAGGAAACTTGAAATGCTGATCGAACAACGGATTGGGCTCGTTCCTGTGAATAGGTGTCTGTCGTTTCTTGTTGTCCACTTCAGGACTGAGTGTGAGTTTAACAAAAGGATCATTGAAGCCACCCTGATCAGTTCCCGCGAGGTCATGCGCCTCAATGAGATGAACATGAAGATCCGACCTGTCAAAGTCGTACTTGAGGCGCAAATGGAGTCTCCCAAGACTCTTTCCAGTTCTGAATCAAATTAAATTAAATGCATCAGATCCAATCACTATTACCACGGCTTTGAAATAACGTGATCAACTGATTATCTCTTTGATGAGAGTTTTACGAGTACTAACGTTTGATCAGTCCTGCGTGCACTGAGGAATAATGGACCATCGCGACGCTGATAGAGATCCGGCTGCAGGGATCCCAGGGGTGAGGCTGGAGGCGCTGGTCCTCCATCACTTTGCGGAGGTAAATGGGTAATGTGAATGCATGGTTCGGTTATTCGAGTATACGAATGGTCGGGGAAAACCTCAGTTTTCATTATTATGGGGATAAGAGGAAACTCAAGTTATTCTAGTGGGATTCCCCCGATAACTAAATTCTTGACAATTTTTTTACACGTTAATGACACGTGCATAAAGTCAAATATCTCTTAATTATCCAATTAATTTCTGTTTGAGAGACACGGCATTGGGGAATGTTATGGAATCTTGTGCTTTCATCTTATTTCACTAGAGATGTACGCGCGCTACGCGCGCGTATGCTTTTACGTGTGGCGCTTTAATGTGATTTTTCATTTCGTTTTATTGTATTTAGAAAAAAAGAATAAATAAATATATATATCCGAATAAACCGGCGACAAAAAACGTTACATTGGATTTTTTTATAATGGATTTTCCCATTTAGAATGACGGGATCCTTCAGACTGTATTATTTATGGAATGAAGATGACGTGAATACTGTAATGCAATTGTGTAATTTCCGGAATGGAAAACAATGGTAAACATCTCGAGTTATTTAAACTACGAAAAATAAATTAATTTCAGGTGATTTTTCCGTTTTTTTTGTGTAAAAATCAGACTTCAGCTGCGGCCAGTCTGTTTATTTTTTGAGATAAGTCTATTCTGTAACGGTGAGTGATCTGTGAGTTCCATATTTTTTAACATTTCTCTCCGTGTATTGAAGAATCGGAAGATTAATGGCCATCCCTCCATGAAACATACTTCACCGTCAGAGCAAATATTTTCTCTCAGTGCGATTCGACATTTTCTTTGCAGAGGAAAATTGAAAATTTTCAATGCATAATTTTCTCGAAATTAGCTCTAATTATTCAACCCACCTGAGACACGCTCTGGGTGGTGGAATGAGAAGTGGAGAGAGACACCGACTCCCCGACTTGGCAGCCCCAATGGTAGACGTTACACAAGAGGAACTCCCAACTGTTGCCAAAGACGATAATGAACTTTGCGATGGTGAAGCTGTACCGCTGTGCACACTACCAGTGCAGCTAGCTGGACTACCGCATCTAGCGTCGAGTGAGGCTGCTCGTGCTGGTGATGGTGACCTATGAATATTCAATGACATTGCCATTGTGTACCTGGTACTCGTGTACTTGAGCCCATCAAATATTGATTTCTTCTGATGACAACGGGAGTCACGAGGAAAGAGAATATTTACGAAAGTACTTGTGCCACTGAGCTCCCCCCCTGGAGATGGTGGATTATTAATACTCAAGGGGTACGCAATTACCTTGAACTCCGGTTGGGCGGGTAGGAGGAGGCTGCGTGCAAGGGATCGTGATGGTGGTGTCGGCCATCTGGACCGAATGCTCGAATTTGGGGGGAGGAGCCACGGTGGCCTGATGAGCCTGGTGCACCTTCCAGAGAACCCTGAGAACTTATTGATGGATTTCGAGCTAGCACTCTGCCACCAGGTCCCTGCACTGGTGGACCTACCGTGCACGGGTAGCTTCTACTCTGGTGGGGCAATCCACCTGATGGTTCAATTCATTTCACATTTATATGAGTTGGAATATATTGGTGAAACGCGTGCACGTATGAAAAAATCATATGGAGAATTCGAACATTTCCTATAGGATTTTTCAGATAGGATTTCTTGTAGGATTTCCTATGGGATATTCTATAAGATTTTTAGTAGGATTTCGTATGAAATTTAGGGTCGTAGGGGTCAGAATGAGGGCTAAGAGTCATTGGGGGGTCATATAAGGGTCATATGAGGGTCACATGGGGACATGGGGGTTATGCAGAGGTTGTATGAGGATCAAATGACCTTCATATGACCCTCATACGACCCCCCATATAAGGGTCATATAAGGGTCATATGGGGATCATGAGGGAGTCATGTAAGGGTCATGTGGGTCATATAAGGGCCATATGAGGGTCTTATGGGGGTCACATGGAGGTTATACAGAGGTCATATGATTACTCCATTACGTCCAGAAAAATGAATTATTCGAATAAAACAGTAAATTTGAGTGACACTTAGAATTAATTTTTATTTGCACTTTTCTTCGGAACAGACGAATGTTTTTTTTTTCAATATAAACTCATTTTTCCTGTACTGAAATGAAGACTGGAGATTTTAAATGAACGAATCTATTAAAATGTAATAACTCTCCATTGGCAACAAATAAATACGTTCATTCCATTCTAATAAAGAATTCATTCGGAATGAATGAATTTTCGTTCAATTTAATTGAAACATTTCCATCGAAACTCACTAATATGTGAGTTCATCGATTGCCAACAGAAATATTTTTGAAATATCATTTGAACGTGATAAATCTTAGTTGAGTCAAATAAATAGTTCTTTAAACATAAAAACATGTTCCATGTCAACATTCATTAATAATCCTTTGTTTGCATCAAGTCAATTCTATTTGAGTCTCCTAGAGGATTTAATTGCAGTGAATGAATATTTCATCATAATCAAAACATTCTCATTGAAATGAACATTTGTTGAATTCCAAAAGCATCCAGCAGTAATATCGTTGAAATAAATGAAAAAAATTCCAAATAAGCATATTATTTCATTCGAGTGCGTCATTTCTCTGTGCACTGAATGAGAAATAAACCACAAGAATTGTTGGCATCTCTCATTAAACTCCCACTCCCCCCGAATGAATAAATAATTTACCATCTGAGGCTGAAGACGCTGATGATGGCTGGATGGCATGATGCTCCTTGGCAACATTGAACTCCTGAAAATGAAAAAATTTATTATTAACGGAACTGCATAATTCCCCGGTATATGCATATGCCAGCGCTCTGGCGTCATCGGGAACAGTGAGATCCCATTCTACATGCGGTTTACAAATTTCTATTACAAGCGCCACCCACAAGCGGCCACAAGCGGCTGGGGTGTGGGATGCCCTTTCATTATGCCCTTTTCCTGTCAAATTCGATACTCCTCTTTACAATTAATTGTTTATAATCATTTTCATTGCAAAAAGTAATACGACCGATGAGAATCATATGTTCTGATTTATCAGCTCTTCAATTTTCATATTTCAATGAATGATTTGCTCATGGTATAATTCCTATGCTCAGTGAATAGGATTTTAATCATAATTACAATTCAATTCCTTCTAGAACACACTTTAGAGCGGGAATTTCGGGAATTCAATGTTTGTTGATAGTCTGGTAAAAGTCGGTGTCCACTGTTATCAATTTTTCGGTAGTTCACACGCCAATTAATTAATTAATCATACACTGCCGAAACGAGTTCTCCCACTGTGGGGGGGCTCTGGTATTTTAACGGTGGGGGTCTAAAACCGCTTTCAAATTCACCCTCTTTTATTCAGATTTTTCGGAGTTTTGCCATTTTTTTTCGAGAATTTACGAACTATTTTTTTGGGCGCTCGGTTGTAAAGTGAATATATAATCGCTCAAGGGCAGGGATAGGTGGAAAAAATTAATAAATAGGCGAATGGACTGATTTTTAGTCCCAATTTAAAGGGACAGAATTCAAGGGAATAACTGAATTTCAACAGAATTTTTGAATTAATTAATCTGTTGTTCATCTCATCCATATAATGGCTCAGAATATTGTCGTCTCGTATTTTCAGCATTTGCTGTTGAAACATGAAATCTGTATAAGAAATATATTGCCCCAAAAAATTTCGAAGTTCTGCTTTTTTTCCATTTGGGAGGTACTCTCAGCGACAAATTTTAAAAATATTCCCCCCAATATCCTCATATGTATATGTAATAGAAAAAATGCTGAATACTTTTGGGATTTCTCTTGAATTCAATGCAATTGAAACGATAAATTTGTATGTGGGGGAGGGCGGGAGCGAGGCGAGCGGAGCGAGCAAGGACGGAGTCCCCTAGCTAAAAATAAAAATTTAATTTGGAATATAGAGTCACAGCTTTTTTTACTCAAATCAGAAATTTTATATTTGGATATCAATATTATTTGTCCAAAGTGAAAAAATCGATCATCATTTTCACTATATTGTATTCCGATTCTCCAATCTTTAACGTAAAAAATGTGAGATAATCTCATAATTGTAGTTATTAATTCTAATCAAGTTTGTTCGAAGGAAACCTTAGTAACCCCAATATTAAAGTAGAATTATTCTATTTTCCTCTGGGCTAAATGATTTGAACAATTATGATTCGTTCATTCATTCTTCATCGAATGGTATTCAATTCTCTTTTGTTTGTTAAGTGTTAGGCTTTTTGTTTGTTATGATTGTACTCATAAAAACCGCCCTAATTTCTCCATTAGAGGCATCAAGACTAGATGAGTTTCGCAACTTGCGACGAAGTAAGAATTCTGAATTCGTATTTAAACTCGAGAGTTTTTCCATCGACACGGAATACATTCAGGCTTCAACTGCTGACTAACTCCATCGTTTTTATTCAAATTTGAAATTACTGATGCAGGGCTCATACATATTGAAGACCGCTCCACATAAATAAATTTCCTCGCTTCCTTTTTTTCCGGATTAACGGGGATGGCCTGCATGACATTTTATTCTCGTACCCTGCATGAGGATTTCCTTGCTTTCAGATGTTGGGGTGAAAGTGGTGGCTCGGAGTTGGCTGGGACGACGTAGGAAATGGTTTCGAAGTAAAGGGGGCAGAGTTACGTTTTCCCTTTCTTCTGGCTTTTACGCGGATCGATAGTATTTTAGGAACAACCTGAAATACATCGGGGATGAATACAATGGGACTTTCCTATTCACTTTTTTATTGAGTGGGAGAGAGGCTTTCAGGAGGGATTAATTGCGAGGGTGATACAATAATTGCTTGAGTAATTATGGAAAATTAATCTTTTGTTTCAAACGTAAGATGTCTTCTTCGAGTTATAAAATAATTTGGACCCTTGTGACCCTTACATTCTGACTTCCATGACCCTCATTATAACCCTCGTGACCCTTATTTTCACCCTGGTGACCCTTAGTTTCTGACCTTTGGGTTTTGATTCCCATGTCTCTTATTTGGAGCCTTACTCTGACCCTTGTAACTCTTAATCTGATCCTGGTGACACTTATTTAGACCTTTAATATCTGACTTTAATTATTCTGACTCTCGGGACCCTTATTCTGACCCTCGGGATCATTATTTTGACCCTTGTGGTCCTCATTCTGATCCTCATGACCCTTATTTTGATCCTCGTGGCCCTTATTCTATAAGGGCTATCCCTTATTCTGATCCTTGTGACCCTTATTCTGACTCTCGGGATTCTTATTTTGACCCTCGTGGTCCTTATTCTGATCCTCATGACCCTTATTTTGACCCTCGTGGGCCTTATTCAGACCCTCCTAGCCCTTATTCTGATCCTTGTGACCCTTAATCCGATCCTCGTGATCCTTATTTTGACTCTTATAACATCTCAAGTGATGAAAAAACGTTTCATTTTAAGATATTCGAAATTTAAATCATCGCAAAGGCACCCGATAAGACAAATTTTTCTGTCTAATGTCTTGAATTAAGACATCTGTAGACCCTAGTGTTTACAGTATTTAGGAGACACTTTGTAAATAATCTGCGGCACGATGTTTCATCTCTTCTATATGGATGAGTCCATTCCATCAGAGTGCACTGAAATTTATCAAAATGAGTCCGTTCGGAATAAATATTCTTTCCCTAAGTTTATGCCTCCAATATAACTTTTGATAACTCCGGATTAACTGAACAACTCACGCAGAAAATTCGAAATGGGACAACTCCTGTTGTGTAATCTCACAGCTGAGTGACTCAGGGCTATCATATCTCAAGTTTATGGATTACTAACCAGAGAGTTTTAGAGCTGCTGGATGTGACAGAAACTTTGAAACTCAAGGATAAATAAAGTTATTGGTGATGCCACAACAAGATGTTTCCATAAAATTGTCGAATGAGCAGGTCGAGAGGGACGAGGAAATGGGATTTTTACGAGGTGCGTCATTACGTCGTTAACGCGTAATTGTAAAATTTCAATTTCCATGTTCCATGGTCTATGATCTTTATTGTGATCCTTGTGATCCTCATTATACCCCTCGTGATCCTTCATTTCTGACCTTTAATTTTGGAGTCTTAATTTTGAGTAGCAAATTTTCATCAGCAGAAGCCGTTTTGGATTATTTGTAATGTAAGAGAGATAAGAGAGATATAGAGACTCATATTTTGACTCTTGCGACCCTTAGTTTCTGACCCCAATGACCCTTATGCGGAACCTTAATCTGACCCTTGTGACCCTTATTTGGATCTTTATTCTGATCCTCATTACAACCCATGTGACCCTTATATTGGCCCTGGTGACCCTTATTTAGACCCTTGATACCCTTGTTACCCTCATTTGCACCCTTATTCTGACCCTCGTGAGCCTTATTTTGGCCCTTGTGACCCTCAACGTTGGAGTCTTAATTTCAAGGACCAAATTTTCATCACCAGAAGTCGATTTTGATTTTTATAATATAGAGAGATTCATGATGTAACGCGGTACGATAATGATAAACGAAAATTCATTCGAGTGCCGTGAAGCGCAAACATTGTGAGATTTAAGGATATCCAACTACTTTGGCTATTTTTTCTCCAGTGAAATGTCTCTCTACTTTTATAGTCAAACATCAGAGCTTTCACCAAAATTAATATTCAAAATTTTACCAGAAATCGATTTTGTGCCTAGAAAATTGGGTTTACGAAAGTTTAAACAATTTCAATTATTTATTTACTATAGAAGATACCTGGATACCCTTAAGTAATTGAAAATAATTTACTTTAAAAACAAATAAATAAAAATTGATTTAAAAAAATGAATGAATTGAATTTAAAAATTGACAAAAGTTCAATTGACCAAAAGTTCACTTTCCTGAGTTGAATTTAAGCAGGCTTTTTAATGAACAATGTTTTTAGACGTGTGACTAACACTACACCATTGCCGAGAATATCCACTATCGCCGATGGAATTGCACGTACGTAATGTCCTTAGCAACGTGAAAGGAATATCGGTCAGCGTTAAAATTGTTGTGGTGCATGGACACGCAAATTTCATCCAGGCACACTATGACCGGAATCAGACCAAACTAATGCTATTAATATTGACAATGTCATAACCCAATAAAAAAATCGATTGGAGCTGCAGCTAAATATGAATTGGAGTTTAATTCCATATCCCCTCAATTACGAAGATCGATGGCTCATCTGGAGATACAGATCCTATTGTTATACCGACTAGTTGATATCGGATGAGCGCTCACAGTCGGATTTAAACACGGAGAATCCGAAATGATAAACCATCTAAACGCTCTATTAAATGGAGAACAGTTGCACGAGATGGAATGAGTGTTCGATACTATTGTGACGCTTCAGCCAGATGAATTCAATTATTTCTGTCGCAATTTTAATTATTTCCTCGAAATAATCCAGCTGCAAGGGTCTTGTAGAATTAAATCACGTACAGGGTATTCGTTAATTATTCGTCATTGATTATTTTTCCCGCGAATTATAACTTTAATGAGTGTAAGAAATTGATCCCATCAAATTCTTCCTGCCATTATTTTTTAAAATAACAGTTATCATTTAATTTTTCGGATATTTCGAGATGTTTTCTAGATTTTAATCTTCTTCCTAAATTCGAAAGAATTAATTTCTCATGAGACTCTGTGTTATTTTTGCACTTTCAATTGAATTATTATTAATAATACTAGACTGACAATTGGGCATAAACTCGTTGTGGTTATACTACTTTAATCATCAATAAAAATCTGTT